CTTCAGACATTTATCTGTATAATGAGCCTTAAAAATCTGTAATTTTTGTAAAAAAAAAACTGTATTAATCACGGGGGTGGGGTGCAGGTAGACCATCAGCCGCGGGGGGGCGGTGCAGGCGGACTGTCGGCTTCTGTATCAAAAGGAAATGAGGTGAAGAACTTGTTTGTAGCAATAGAGTGGGTTGGAAGTGGATATTTGATGTTAATAATTGTTTTTAACATCCTACAGGCTCTGACATGTTGAATAATTTAGAAACTAAGTTTTTCAAAGATTCCATAAAGCATGAAAAAAATCCATGAGATTGCACTATACATCCATATACACAAGAATTTGACTGAAAACGCAAATAAAAGATGAGAAGTTCAGTGTTTATTGACCAAAGTTATAAAGATTTAATTATGTAGTATTTGCAACATGACAGTTATTACAAGTATATTGATTAGGATGAACAGACATACTGGTTTTTGATTGTTTATCACATAATGCACCAAATTATTACACCACCGCATTTTGTAACAATTGCCGCAAAATGTAATAACGTTATTACATAATGCGTTTAAATTCTTTTATTACATTTTGTGTCATTTATTACATAATGTGGTTTTAGCGCGAGTTTATTACGTTTTGAAGCCTGATTTTGTTACATTATTACATAATACGCTGTTATTACGAAATGAGGTCTTGCATACCCTTAATTTACCCACTCCTCCAAGTTTCCAACACTTTTTATCTTCTATTTTCTCTCCTAATTTCACCATTACATATATCATATCCATTTCTTTTGACACAATTCATTGCAGGAGCACGCGGGAGGGAAGAGCTGGCCAGTTGGGAAAACAGTTGAAGTTTTAAGTTTGGTCAAGTCAATCACCTAACCCCGATGAAATTCTAAAATCTTGTCTCATATACATCTTTTGAACAACAAAAATGGAATTTGCCTTGTTTCAATACTTTTGGAGGAGACTGTATATAAATGGTGGTGTTCCACACATCTTTTGGTTCTGCGATGCTCGTTCAAATAAGTTTGGATAGGAAAAACAGCTAGTAAACAAAAACAAACAAGTTGCGTAATAGTTTATGCATTTATTGTCAATAGCATCAAAAAGAGCTTTAAATAAACTTTAATAAACTTGTAAAATGTATGTGTTCACTGTCGAAAGCATTAAAATATTTTACAGTGTCATTAAATTGGCATTAAAAAGCATTAATTGGCTGATTTCTGCAGAAACCCCATTTAATAAAAAAATAGATTTGAAATCAGTTGTAAATTTGTGATTCAGTGCAAGAAAATACATTTAAAAGGTAAAAGAAAATAAAACCTGTTTCTGATACATAATGCAGTGTTGCACTACCACTGTCGGGTAATACCCTTGAGCAGTTTAGTTGGATAGCCCTAGAGTAGTTATCTGTATCAAAAACTGCACATTTCGGTGTTATTATTGCCCAAGGACTGGCCTGTATGCTGCTCAATATTATTTTTTCCCTAAATGACTTTATTTATCATTTAATTTGCATCAGTTCAAAATTTTCACACTTTCTTTGTTACTTTGTTTGGTTCAGTGAAACCTAATCACGTTGGCAGCAATCTGTTTCAGTTTGGATTGAATCATCTCAAAAACATTGACGAAACTTCTTTCAGTAACATTACTAGCTAGTAGTGTTACAGTACAAGTGTTTTTATTGAATTATTTTTGTACAGACAGTTCTGGTGCTTGCAGTTAGATGAAAGTGTTTGTTGTCTCTACATTTCGCGTTTAGCTTTATAAAACTGAATAGGCAAACGTCCATCTACCCTTTACCTAATTGAACCAAAGAAATGCTAACCAATAAGAAATGTTATTAACAAAACCTTATTAATTTTCCTTTAGGTGGGATGCGGCCTAACACCTTGGTGCTTGGTTTTTATGATGACTGTCTTCCAAAGGACAAGCTGATCGATCCCTTCCTGTCATCCAGCGAGTCCACAGACACTTGCAGCAATTCTCAGGAGCTTGAGCAACCTCCTCTCTTCCATTTTACCTCCCTGAGGGGGTCTAGTGACAGGCATGATCATGGTGAATTTGGGGACGGGAAGATTTTAGGCCCTCAGGAGTATGTTGCAATTATTAGTGATGCCATGAAGATGCTAAAAAATGTGGTACTCACTCGATACTTCAATGACTTCGACCGAACCCAAGCCCTCTCACCACCATCTTCTAGGAAGGTGTTTGTTGATGTCTGGCCAATTAACCTCATGCGGCCGGACAGCAGCAGCTATGTCGATACCTGCTCTCTGTTCTTGCTACAGCTAGCGTGTATCCTGAACATGGTGAAAGCCTGGCGCAAAGCAAAGCTGCGCCTTTTCCTGTGTGTGGAGGAGGGGCGGAGTGTAAGGGGCTCAGAGGAAAAGCTCGGCCAGCTCCTGAAAGAGCTGAGAATTAAAGCTCAAGTGCGCACCGTGCCCTGGGACCAGGTCGTGGCGCTACACTGGCAGCGCCAGAGCGGCTGGAACAAGAAGGAGCAGGTCGAGTCCCAGGACTCCACTGCTGATGGGAGCGTGGAGAGAGCCGTCGAAGAGGAGGATGAGGATGATTACGTTAACAGCTTCCCGAGCAACGCCACCCGTGTGTCAGATGACTACCTCTCAGCCGTCAATAGGCTGATCCTGGATCAGGCCCAGCCACCTCCAACTGTACGCTTCCTGTACTTGCCCCGCCCCCCAGCCGACACCCGCCGCTACACAGCCTATTTACGTCAGCTGGAACTACTTACTCAGGATTTGGGACCCACACTCCTCATCCATGGAGTCACTCCTGTCATTACCACTGACCTCTAAGCTGATCTTTTCCTGACACGTTCGGTGAGCTGTGCCTTACACACACAGTCAGTGTCCCATTAAAACAAAAGATGACTCTCTGCTAGATAACGACTCCACCAGCACAGCCTCACATAATGTTCTGTTTTAGAACTCTTTCTTTTATATCTGTGTGATTTCCTTCCCATGCTTGTATCCTCATCAAGCTCCAGAAGGCCCCTCTTGGTGAACCTGGCTGCAGTTTTTAACACGATTGTGATCAAATGGCAAAGCAGCTCAAATTCCTCAAAATGACTATTCCATGTTTTCTGATGGGGAAAATGTCTTTTCTTGTTATGAAACTTAAATGAAACCTTGAAGCAGTCATTATTTTTTATTTTATTTTAGGAGTTTACAACAAATAATAATCATGAAAAACTATAGCAAAGGTGCTACTACTGTTGAATTTCAAGAGTTTATTAATTATGTCTTGCATTTCATTCCATTTTACTTTTGTCTTCGACAAACTTTGTGGTGCACAGCTTTTCAGAAAAGATTTTGTTTTACAGCAACATTAAGCACAGAAATCATTCCTGAGATTTCGCTGATTTATTTATATACTTTCTAAAGAAACTCGTGATTTTTATTTTACCCCAGCAGTAACTGTGTTCTCCAGGTGATTCAGTCTCTGGCTGTAGTACCTGGATGCATTTAAATATGTTCTTGGCTCTGCAGCCTCAGTCATTACCTAAAGTGCCTGTAACATTAAAATTAATTTATGTAAATTCTGCCTATCTGTGTTGACAAAGTGGAATTTATTGAGCAGCATCTGCGAGGTCCAGGTCCAAACCTGGAGAAAACTTCAATCCTGGATTTCTGTCTAAGTTGACACACCTTGTTTGTGTTTTGATATGCTTCCCTGTCAGCTTACTGCAAATTGTACTACACTCCCAACAAACTACTGACATGACTACTGACTGTTTTTTCAAAATCTTAGTTTTCTTTGTCAAAGGAGAATAAACATTTCTAATGGACACCTTGAAAAAGAATTAAACCTTCAGTATTTCAGTTTTTGTTAAAATCCAGACATAAACTGTAAAGATGATGACTGTATTATGTGAACAAAATAAATTCCTTTGTGCCTTTTTTTCACTTGCCCAGGTGATTCTTAACAAAAACAGGATAAATCTCAGCAACTGCTCCGGATGTTCGGACTTTTATTTCAGCTGAAGGGCAGTTTGTGAGCTGAGGGCTTTTTGTGTGCACCCACTTGTTTGTTTGAAGTAAACTTGGGAAATAGGGCCTGAGATAGCTCAGCAGCTCAGACAGAGATACAAGAGGGTGCCAGCCAGCCAAATTACCTAGTCCTACAGTCTCTCTCACTGCCAAGCCGACAGAAATGGATTTCGTCTCTGTACTGAGGTGAACAACAGATTGGAGAAATAAGCCCAAATAACCACTGATACCTTGTTCAGGACAAGAAAAGCTGATATTTATCATGGATTGAAAGACTCAAACGCCAAAAGAATAAGTTGTGTAGGTGTGCATGCACAGAACAGGTTCACGATTAAATTTATTTATTTATTTATTTATTTAAGTTTTAGGTAGAAAAGAAAAAAACTGACAGTTAAAATTCAACTCAAAAATATTTCATTGATCCCAAAGGGAAATTTCAGTGTTCTGTCTTATTCTGTAATCAACATTCACATGCAAAATCAAACATTCAGTTTTATAAATAATGAAATCTACCCAAATGTAATGATTTGTTTCTAGGTACAAACAATATAGACTTGGAAGATTTATCACACTTAGTATTTATTGTGAAATCTTTGGTTGGGTGCAATGCAGCAGGTGGGGGAAGGTCCCTGGTCATGTCAATTCCTGGCAGCGTTGACTGGCTCTAGGGACGTGGAAGGTAACCTCACTTGCAGGTAAAGAGCTTGCGTGTGATGTGCGTTACCAGCTAGGTATAGTTGGGCTCACTTCTGCTCACAGCCTGGGTAGACTTGGGACGAAGACTAAAAAGATTATGATGGACTTTGGGAGAAGAGCTTACATCCCTCTTATTGGAGGGGAAACCGCAGAGCAGGTGAAAACGAAGTGGCACAATCAACATTGATTAAAGAAAAAGCTTCATTAATGTTTGTATTTTATGAGAAGGCTTAAACACATTGGCCTCTGTGCTGCTGTGTGGTGAAGAGCATCCTGGAAATTTCCATAACAGGTGGACAGTAAGCCCTAATTGTTGAACCAGAGCAAATAGTTTAATGATGGACCTCAACCACCCAGTGTTGCCTCAAGGTCTGGTCAACAAGATTATTCCCTGATGCTATGATGTTTATCAAGTCAGACCCTTAAACATGTCCTCTGCCCTTTTTCTACTATATCCTCCTATGTCTCTCACATAGAGTCTGAATCTAAACTTTATAAAAACTCAGGCACCACAGTATTGTCAGATCCCAGATGAGTCCACATTTTGTCACAAGCAAGCTCATCAAGTATGACAAAAGTTGTGCACCACAAAAAGATTGTGCGCTGCCATCACAAAACCTGTGAAAATGTGGAGAATTGAAACAAGAATCTACTTAAACTTCTAAATTGCACCATCTTCTCTAACTCTGTTTATACAAGGCATCCTGGTCAATACAGTTAAAATATCAAAACGCTTCACAAAGCATCTGTCTGTAAAAGCCAGAAAAGAGGATAAAGCAATGGAGAAGAAAAGCTGACATAATAATTATGAGGATGAAATTTATTTCAAGAACAAAGACAAGGTATAAATGAGCTGAAAGCAGCAGGCAGATAAATGCAGTGTATGTGAGACGGAAATAGAAGGAATAAAATGTTAATATGAAAGGCATGACAGGGATATTATTGTCGGTTGCTAACACAACTCACAGCATGTACATGCAGCCTGCTTGAGTAACATATTAAACCTGCCAAGGCTACAGCACTAATTCATTTTCACAACTCAGGGACACAAAGCTGTCACACTGCTTCTGAATAAAATGATAAAAGAACAGGACAAACATAGACCTGCGCTAACATCCGCCTTTTCTGCAGGCAACAACAGTAAGTATCTGAGCTGTGGATGTTGAACTTAAAAAACAAGGGATGCTATTCTGCATGGAAAGATATGAGCACCACAAACAGAATACAAGACACTGCTGTCTGTGAAGTTGGAACAACTATATATATATA